GGGGGGGGGGGGCTCGGGGAATAATGGGGCAGCCAGCGCAAGGCAGGGCACTTCCTCAGCTGAACCCTGTCAGCGGCTGGGAAGAGGTGGGGGGACAAAGGTGGATGGTGTGTGTGTGTGTGTGTCCCCAACTCAGGAAGGGCCAAAGGGGGTGGGATGCACTTTGGGGGCATAGGGGGGCAATGAGGCCATTTGTGGGGTGATGTGCTTCGGGAGGGGATGCTGGGATTCGGGGAGGGGATAAATACTGTGTGTTGGGGTGATGTGATGCACTTTGGGTGGGGGCTGCTGTGCTTTGAGGGGGTGTGTGTGTGATGCACTTGGGGGGGTGATGCTGTGCTTTGGTGTGTGTGTCTGGGGTGATGTGCTTCAGGGGTGCTTTTGGGGCTGATGCTGTAGCACTGGGAGGACCAAAACCATGAACCCCCATGGGTGTGGGTGATGGAGGGAAGCTGGTGCCCCCCCCCTGGCCGGGGGGGGTGTGTGGGAGAGGCTCACCCACCTGCAGATGATGATGAAGAACTTGAGGAGGAGCAGGGCCTGCCCGAGGCTGGCCCCGCCGCCCTCCTCCCGTGGGACCTGGGCCACGCAGTGCCCCAGCCGCTGGCTCAGCACCTGCAGCACCTCCTGCGGCAGCACCGGGATCTCCGACACCGGCTCCTCCGGCCTGCGGTGGGGAAAAACGGGGGTGGCAACGCCCCCAAAACTCCCCTCGTCAGACCCCCTCCCCTGCTTCGAGCTTCAGACCCGATGGTTTAAAACCACCGGGAGCGGCTGCCACAACAACCCCCGGATTTAGCCGCGGGTGTCACGGTGCCCCGGCCCCGCGGGTGTCACCCGCGCAGCAGCCAAGGTGCCGGGCAGCCTCACCTCCTGGGCTCCAGCGAGGGCAGGGCGATGATCTTCTCGAAGTTCATGACGAAGGCTTCCAGCCACTGCTGCAGGTAGGAGAGGTCCTTCTGCAAGGGCGAGAAGGGGGCTGGAGCCAACGGCCAATCAGATCCCACCGTCAGCACCGCCCCGGAGGTGTCAGCCAATCAGCAGGCAGAGCAGTCAATCCCCGCCTCCTGTGTCCCCCCCTCCTCCCTGAGCCACCAGCCAATTGGTACCAGGGGTGTGAGCACGCCCCTGGGAGTCACCGGCCAATGGGTGACCAGAGCAGCACAACCTGTGGAGCTGCTGACCAATCAGCACGCAGAGCAGCACAACCTGTGGAACCACTGACCAATCAGCACACAGAGCAGCGCTACCTGTGGAACCACTGACCAATCAGCACGCAGAGCAGCGCAACCTGTGGAACCACTGACCAATCAGCACGCAGAGCAGCACAACCTGTGAAGTTACTGACCAATCAGCACGCAGAGCAGCACAACCTGTGAAGTTACTGACCAATCAGCACACAGAGCAGCACAACCTGTGAAGTTACTGACCAATCAGCACGCAGAGCAGCACAACCTGTGGAAACGCTGACCAATCAGTGTGCAGAGCAGCACAACCTATGGAGCTGCTGACCAATCAGCATGCAGAGCGGCACAACCTGTGGCCTTGCTGACCAATCAGCACCAATGGCACCTGCCCCTATAGACAAATACCAGCCAATCAGCAGCAAGACCTGCTGGCCCTTAAAGACAACAGAGACAACAGCCGGCCAATCACCTGGATGAAGTAATTCACCCCTGGGACTTGCTAGCCAATCAGCACCCAGAGCACCTTCCCCTGCAGGCAGCTCCAGCCAATCAGCAGGCAGAGCTGGGCGCAGGCAGCCGGCACCGCATGATACAACCCCCGGCCTGGCGGTTGTGCAACAGCGTGATTCACCCCCGCTGTCACCCCGCCCCGGGACTGGGCACCCCCTCATCACACCTCCGGGTCACCCATGTCCCTGCGCACCCCAACACAGCCCCCCGGGGTGACTGATGTCCCTGCGCACCCCAACACAGCCCCCCGGGGTGACTGATGTAGCCCCCCGGGGTGACTGATGTCCCTGCGCACCCCAACACAGCCCCCCGGGGTGACTCGTGTCCCTGTGTACCCCAACATGGCCCCCTGGGGTGACTGATATCCCTGTGTACCGCAACACAACCCCCTGGGGTGACTTGTGTCCCTGTGCACCCCAACACAGCACCTGGGGGTGACTGATGTCCTCGTGCACCCCAACACAGCCCCCTGGGGTGACTGATGTCCCCCAGCACCCCAGTGCAGCCACTGGGGTGACCTGTGTCTCTGTGCACCCAAACGCAGCACCTTGGGGTGACCCCTGTTCCTGTGCACCCCAATGCACCCCTCTGGTGTGCACATCTCACTCACATCCCTGTGTACCCCCATGTTACACCTCGGGGTGACCCACAACCC